TGGATTCAACTACAAAACAAAAAAAAAATTCGAAAATTGTCAACTGACCAACGTTACTAGAAAGAAAGAAGAAACGAAAACGGGAGATTGGATATTCATGTTAGATGTTGAAGCGGTAAGATCGATAAATTAAATGATATTATAGTTTGGATTCCAAATATCAGCTAGTAATCTATCCTAACTGCATTCCTGCTAACATCAGCTCACGGGAGATAGAGTTACGGGAAATGCGAGCCCGTGAGCCGAGGCGCGCAGGACGAGAGGATCCCACGTTGGGTGGGGAGGTGGGAAGTACCGATTAGTGTGAATAACCGCAAATGAGTTAAACAAACAAAAAAAAAAGGAAGAAAGAAAAAAAAGATTAACATTTCACGCCTTTACTTATCATACAAGATATATGAAGTTCAATTATTCCCCATTTCCGACTCGTAAATCTGTTATTAAAGAATGCTACAACGTTGCATGCAGGAAAACCCCCTCCGCAAGTAAGCATGCCTTCTCAACTCCATTCCTGGATCCGCGTTTAACAACTGACCCTGATCTCAAGATCTCGAGATCAAGATCTCAGTCTTATATACCTGATGTTACGTCTGACTGCTCTTAGGATAGTAATCTATCCTAACTGCATTCCTGCTAACATCAGCTCACGGGAGATAGAGTTACGAGAAATGCGAGCCCTGTCGCCATACCACGCCTACAACCCGGCTGGATCGTTTCGAACCCCCTCCTTGCCCCAAAACTTCCCGAAACTACAATCCCAACCATACTCCCCGAAACTACTTTCCCCCCTAGTTCCCAAAACTAAAGACCTGAATCCATCTCAAAATTGAGCTAATTGGGAAAGAAAAGTTCGAAGTTAACTAAATTGTCAGGAAGGGAGAATTCGATACGGAGGTGTTCTTAACGGTCGTACGAAAAAGAAAGCCGGAGTCCAAGTTGCTGCGCATAGCAGCGCATAGCATAAGGTAAAATTATTTAGAAATTACCCACAGCCCTGACTCGCCCGTATTGCCGGTCCCAGGCAACCCCTAAGGGTATGAAAGGCATTAGACGCCCGCACCCAGGGCCGACAACAGCCGAGTCAAATAATGTCGCACGACGACCGAGAGAAGGTCGTTAGTATGTTTTTAACTGAATCATTGGGTGGGCACCACCCATATGAACAGGCCTTGCGATTCGTTGATTGTGACAATAAGAGACACTGAAGCAATAGAAATTGTAGGTCTAAAGGAAGGATCAATGAGCACTATTGTTTCGAAAAGGCAACCCAGAACGTGATCATATTCGGTTGGTATTCACCCAAGTCATTATCAGCGCAACCGTAAAGAAGAACAACGAATACAGGAAACAACTTATGTCGATATCGTGATATTTTGCCCATTAGGAAATAATTTACAGGTCATGTGAACTACAGCCTGCAATTGTTACCGTTATCTAATACTCCTTGTATATCATGCCATTTAAATTAAAACTGCTGCATGTAAACGTCTCCAAACTCGACAACTGTACTTAAACTCAAGCAATACCCGCGAATGGCGTACCCAGGACAAGGGAAAATGATGTGAAATATTCGTGCGTCAGCATGCAGAACAAATACGTTACTACCGAGTCATCAAACACGTTTCAAATGTCCCTCTCGGCAACTACCGAGCTGTTAAGGACATTAAAAAATTGTATTCTCGTCCACTGCAGGGGGATCGCCATTTAGCATGCTGTCTTTTATTTCACAGGTTTTAAAACAATCATGTAACAAAGCACTACAAATAAATAAATAATTAAATAACTTACATACCCAGAGAACTATCCCAAAATTGTGTTTTAAAACTAAACAAAATCAGATTGTTGATGAACAGGCAGCTGGATTAACTAATTTTATTTTATTTTATTTTATATATATATATATATATATATTTATCACATACTTGTGCCTTTATCAGGGCGATAACAGGGTGACATAAAAACGATATCGTCACTGATATCGCTTTTTGTCACTGATATCGCTTTTTGTCACTGATATCGCTTTTTGTCCCGCTGCATTTGCCGCTGTCAAAACAAAGATGGCTGACTCGAGCAGTTCGAGGTTTGTTTCAGTCGATGTCGATTGCTTTATAGAAAAAAAGGAAGTATGTGATAAACAGGTTATCACAATCGGGACGAGGTGATATCAGTTTTATCGCTTTCAGGACGATATCATAAATGACCCTCGTTCGCTGCGCTCACTCGTGACATTTATGATATCGTCCCTCAAGCGATAAAACTGATATCACCTCGCCCCTCATGTGATAACCTATATATATATGTATATATATATATATATATATATATATATATATATATATATATATATATATATATATATATATATATATATATATATATACCATGGTAACCAAGGTTACCAGATAGTAATACAGTTGACCCATTGGGTGTCAACACCTTCCCTATTTCAACATCTAGTCCACCTAATACTTCAACATCCATCCGTTCCAGTCCAACTAATCAAGCTAGTTTACCTGATGGTGGAATAGTTGACCCAATGTGTGTTAACACTAGCCCTGTCCATCCAGCAACTCAACCTAATATTTCTAGTTTGAACAACCAAGCAACTTTACCTGAAGGTAACACTACAGAAGCTAATGCTCAAGAGGATCCTATACATTTGGAAATGCTAAGAGGTAACAATGTACATAGTTAGTACAAGTGTAATAGATAAAATTGAAAGCATGTTAGTAGATTGAGTTGTTGGTAGATTGATGAGTTGAAGAATTTAATAGAAACTAAACTGTTAAGCTGGTTAGTTAATTCCCAGAATGCTAGACTATGACATGACAGAGATGTATTTGAATTTTCTGACTATTGTTTTTTTTTAAAGATGATGAATTGGAACTAATAAGTATAAATAACTATTTTCCTATTCAGCTGTCACCATTGTTCATTGCATCATGTTTGTTTGGTGACGAGTGCATAACCACAGAATTTGTCATAACCTCCTTCAAGGATTATATTGCAGCTGAAGATCAAGAGACTTTAGAGCAGTGCCTTAGTCCTGATTTTGAACATGTTAATGATGATATTACAGATTTTTTATCATCTTTGATGTTGCAAGATACCAACTAAGGAGAACATTTATGAAATAATAAGTGAGTTGGCCCATCAAGAGCTTGTTCAGAAGCCGAGGTATATCGTCAATTGTTGTTCCCCAGTTATTAATCAACTGAAATTGCTCCCAGAATTTCATACTATTGAGAGTCTACAAGAGTTTTTAAAAAGAAACATCCCCACTGCCAAGAAAATTGTGAAACTATTCAAAGCCATTCCATCAAATGATGCTGAGCGACAGAGTTTTGATCATTTAAAGAGGTTTGTGAAATCCTTAAAGGGCAAAGAATTAGCAAGATTTCTCAATTTTGTCACAGGCAGTGATATGATAAGCTGTGATTCGATTTCTGTCACATTCTCGACTCTTGACGGTTTGGAGCGGAGACCGATAGTCCGCACTTGCACTCCATTAATTGAGTTACCATCGACGTATGATTCATACGTATCATTGGCTGAGGAATTTCTGAATCTAATGAGGCAAGAACAATCTTGGTCTTTGGATATTGTTTAGGTTTTGGCAACCAACACAACATTTATTGATATTATAGGGGATTGTTGATGTTATATTTATAGAAGGTTATTTGGGTCTTTGGATGGATGATGATATGAAGTGGAAGACAAATACAGAGAAGATAGTAAAAAAGGCTGCTAAACGACTATTCCTTCTTAAAGTATTAAAATCATATGGTGCAAGTTCTGATGAATTAAAAAAATTTTGCATCACAGTCATCAGACCAGTCCTGGAATATGGAGCTCAGGTATGGCATGGAGGGATTACTAAGGAACAGAGATATTGAACGGATTCAAAAACGAGCATTGAGGATAATTTACAAGAATGATGATTATGATGAGAATCTTCATATTGCAGAAATAGAAAGTTTGGAGAATCGGAGAGACCGCATGTGCATAGACCTAATTAAGGATATGTCGAATGTAGACCACAAACTGCATAAGTTACTTCCAAAGAGAATGGGAGAAATTAGAAAGAGAGAAACAAGACTAAATAGTCAAAAGTACTATAATTATAAGGCAAATACAGAACGATTTAAGAGCAGCCCAATTACTTATGCAATCTTAAAGTATAATGAATTTTTATCTTAGGTGTAGTAATCTTCTTATAGTATATATAGCTTTAATGTAGTCTTTTATTGTTATCATAGCTTAAATATAGACTTGTTATTGTAATGCACATAACAATTTAGCTGGTAGTAGCTACTAAAACTGTGTATTTTACCCAATAATAATAATAATAATATAATAATATATAATATAATAATATAATAATAATAATATAATAAAATAATAATAATAATAATAATATTATATAATAATAATATAATAATATATAATATATTAATATAATAATATAATAATTAATAAATAATAATAATAATAATAATAAATATAATAATAATAATAATAATAATAATAATAATAATAATGACAATGACAATGACAATGACAATGACAATGATAATGATAATGATAACGACAACGATAAGGATAACGATAACGACAACGACAACGACAACGACAACGACAACGACAACGACAACGACAACGACAACAACAACAACAACAACAACAACAACAACAATAATAATAATAATAATAATTTATATTATAGGGGATTGTTGTTGTTAGAACATGAAACTGTTCAAAAAACAATTTCAAAATTGACCAGCTTTGATATATATTTGGGTTTATTAAATAGTTTATTTGCTTTACATGTAAAAAATAAATTTGTGAACACACAAACAGAAAAACTATTCTGTTTCAAAAAAATGTTTAACCAAGTCAACTGTTGTTAAAAAAAGTTCTATACCATTATTACCGTCATCTTCAATGGGGTTGACTGTTTGCTGAAGTTCTTGATATTGCTCTTCAGTTAATTGTAGAGTTTAAGGGACACTGATATTGTTGTTGGTAGTAATTTCCGGCAAAGGTCCTTCATGATCAATTCCATAGCCTTCCACATTCAAAATTTCAGGGACCCCAGGAAGACTGTGGATGTTTGTTTGCCAAAGCTCTAAAGTTGTTCGGTGGTTTGCTGTTCTTATGCCATGATTATTCCATTGTGATCGAAATTCAGTTAATGAAGCATTTATACGTGGAAGGTAGATGTAACAAGACGCCTGCTCAAGGCGTTACTCCGCCTGCAGGTGAGGAAACACTACAGGTGACAAAAGGTGACAAAATGAGGTGCTTTTTGTACTGTTGCCTGTCAAACTGTTGTCTGTCATACTTTTGGGATTTTTTGCTATACATTTTGTATTCATTAATATGAAATTATTCATTAATGCATTTTTATTCATTGATGTAACTTTATTTAATGACATAACTTCATTCAGTTGCTTAACTTTGTTTACTGATGTAACTTCATTAATTAATATAACTTTATTCATTGTAACTTCATTGTTGGCATTCAAAGGTAAGTTGGCATTTAAAGTTCAAATGTGACTTGGTATTCAAATGTGACTTGGTATTCTAATGTGACTTGGTATTCAAATGTGCATTCATGGAATTCACACTCAGGGACATTAATTTTTTTTGCAACTTCCTGCAAAGGAGCACCAACACCTGTAAATTAGAACAAAAATAAAGTTTTATAAGTTTGGCAAATCAATCCTGTAATAGGAACAGTTTTAATACCCCCTTTTAACCCTGTTATCGCTCGCTACTCTGGTTTATACAAATGATCACAAAGCCTGGTCAAATTGTATAATCAGGACCTAATGTTTCGACAGTCCAGTCTACTGTCTTCATCAGGGGTGATCTAAAGCTGGAATCAAAGCTTCTTAGATACCCAAGGGATGATGTCACCTGCCAAAGACTGGATTGTCAAAATGTTGGGTCCTGATTACAATTCGACCAGGCTTTGTAATCATTTATACATTTAAAATTAATAGACTCTAGTAAATAGAAATATCGAATTCTTAAGCATGCAGGGTCGCTAAACTTGTAGTATGTATAATTTCTGAGAGCAAACAGAACTTTGTATATACCTAGTTTGCATTAAAACACTACGTCAACGTGAATCACTAAATCAACCATAAAACAGAAAATCTTGGGTTTACTAATATGCAATTACCGCCACAGCATATGAATACGATCTAAATCTTAACAACTTACCTTTGTAGTTGTTGAACATGGTTCTGAAAGCTCTTTCAATTCGACAGTCATATTTTTCAATTTTTCACAAGGGAAGAACGTCGATTCAAATACGAGGCACAAGGACACGAAGAAAATAAACATTGCACAAAATCACCCCCAAACTTCCCTAAATGCTAACTGATGTAGATAATTCATCCGTGTAACCCAGGGTTTCTCGGTCAAAATGTTTTGGGTTACCTGTAGAAATGCCAACTTCTGTCGCCCAAAACTACGACTACGACGAAAAGGAAAAAGACATGGCATTTTAAGACTCTGCTGCGCATACGCAGGCGGAGTAATGAAGTGCACACAAGTCAACTTCGCTTAAAGAATCAAGAAGCCCAAAGTTTTCCATAAACTGAAACAAGTCCTTGTATAAGGCAGACAAAACTCTATTTACTTCCGCCCATAAGCGTTTAATCCGTTGATTGTGTACGCTTCTGCCAGCTAAAAAACTTCCTCTCCCTTCTCCTCTGTTTGCAACCATGAAACGTGCCACATCCACATTTTCAACACCATGGTCTCCTCTTACACGGGAGGGCAAGCCAAATACCTCAACTCCATTCTGAAAACATCCAAGAACTGTGTTTGCACAGTTATTTGTATAACAATTCAAATATATTATCAAGCGACTAAAACCGTCAATACATCCATGTATCACAAATCTTTGTGATATTAATTTGTGGTTGGAGTCAATGTGCCAGAGATTATTAGGACCTTGCACATTATAAACTCTTCGACAAATTGCATAACGTCTCCTAATGCTTCTTCCAATAGGATCGACACGATACATGCTTATCCGCTATCTTTGAACAAATACACGCCTACCTCTTAAACCTCCTCTAACATAGCTTTCACCACTGTAAGGGGTTAGGCAAAGAATTTGTCTTACTTGCTCATCTAAATCCTCATCACTGATTTTGGAAAACGTTGGATGTATTCCATATTCGTCTCTTCTTCTAAGTAGAGTTCTCTCTGAAACAGCCAGAAAATTTGAGATTGCTTTCCAATTCATACCAGTATCTCTCAGTGTTTCAATTTGGTCTTTTGATATATCGAAAGCAGGTCTTCCCCCGGTGCTTGGTATAGTCATACATATGTTCATATCACTCGGGTTTCCTACAGGGAGTGAACCTGTAACGCCTGTCAGTTTTACAAGCTCTTGTTCCATTGCTGTAAGTAATTCATTAAGCAAACGCAATAACCTTCCTTCGTTGTGTTCTTGGAATGCCGCCGATGGTGTTTCAATGTTAACAGACAAAGCAGAACACATAGCCGTCACAATTGAAATATAGTTTTGCCACTTTATTTTGCAGTATTCTGCTCCCATTGTGTCATTATCTTCCAAAATTTGTTAAGTACGGTCATACAGTGTTTCACAATCAAGAAAAAAGGCTCTTAGTTCATCTGTGTTATTCGCCATTTTGAAAAATGAGGCTAAATGAGCATTGTGATTATAAAGAGTTACATGAAGTGCCTCAGCCGAAAGTTTGAAAAACCCAGTCGACGTCCCATACGAAAGTAAAATTAACTTAGAGAATGAGCTTAGGAGGGCAAGCGTATGGGTACAGAGTAAAGACAGTATACAAACAACCCCCGAAAGCAAAGTAATCATTCGCCGTGAAATGAGTTGCAAGGAGGAATTTTACTGTGCTCTAAAGACCTAATGACACGGCAAATCCTAACATAGCTAAACCCGAAGTCTAACCGACTTTGGTTTTGTTTTGTTTTTGTTTCTTGGATTACGCAGTACCCTGGAAGTCTTAGGCAAACATTAACAACCAACAGAAAGGTCGATATAAAGCGACAACACCCGCTAAAAACTCGCCGATAGTATGAGACATACCCAACCGGTGGAGCATGACCATGCAGCTGAGCATCTGCTTGATTGCGAGCAGGTATTTGCTTCGTGTGCTTCGGCCATCTCGACTGCTTCTCGGGAGTAGCGTTTAACAACTGACCCTAATTTACTAAGATATCAGTCTTATATACCTGATGTTACGCCTGACTGCTCTTAGGATAGTTTTAGTAATAGAAAACAATTTCGTCGACCGTATTTGATGCCAGACCCCTGACACCCACCTAGCTATGGCAAAGATCCTGCCTGTTTACATCAAGTTAAACTAAACGCTAACGTTAACTGGACCAGATCCAGATCGAGGCCCGCATTCAATAAACAAAATAGTATGAAATCTGTAGAATAAGTTAAGAACGCACAACTTTCAATTTTGAATTCACGAGAAAATACTTGTTATTATTAAAATGTAAGAAAATATTTTCTTTTATCTGCGATCTTTGGACCACTCTTAATACGTGCCAAAATACAAACTCTTTCTCTCTTAATTCATTCCTGTCCAATCTTATTAATTTATGACGTAAATGTCATACTTTTTTCAAGTCTAATAACTCCGTGAGTTCGCGCGCAAAAAACAGCTTGAGAAAAGTACTATGACCGATTCATTTTTGTTGTAATCCGTAAATTAATAAATATTTCTGTTAATATGACACACCGCAGTGCAGTTGTCAAAGTCATCTCAAAATGCAAGGTGATGACAACCGGAAATATAACTCGCCTTTGGAATTTTGTTATATTCTTCGTTATTTAATCTTTATATTAACCGCCCTGTAATATCCGTCGCCGAGGACGGGTGAATTCAAAATATAAAAACTTGGGCAAAACGAATACTTGGGACATGAAAATTCTACAACTGAATAGTAAATATCATAATCTTACTTTTGTGTTGATTTCGTAAATTTTCATCGCGTTTTAGGCGAGTTATCGCAATATTTCAACAAACAAATGTCTCACTCATGTCTCAAAGATGCATTGTGGAAAGTATGAAGCAATGCCTTATTTTTGTAGCGTTGCATCTTCGTTTCTTTTCAGCCAAAAGTGACGGTTCGCCCACCATTTTGTTTATAAAATTCTGCTCTATTTTTGTACTAAATATCATACGCCAGAAGTACATATTTTTCCTTAAATGTTGGAATTTGTGCAAACACTCGGTCGGGCGGAAATCTCCTTCGGGCGTCTTTCGGGCTGTATGTTTTGATAGGTGTATCCTAGGAAACAAGATGCCCCGGAAATCGATTTTACCGGTAAAAATCATTCAGACGACGTATTTTAGTTGATTTTTAGCCAAACGTGTGGCTGTTCTTCGCAATTTTTAACGATGCGGTCGCATGTAATTTTGGGATTATGTTCAATCCGGACGGGGATAGTTATGAATTGCAAAAACAAATACATCAGATGAAAGATCATACTTTAAGCTTTCAAATGAAACCTTCTGAGTATTCATAGGGTAAATACTTGCTAAGATAATCTTGTGTAAACAGAACGTCCGGAAAATGGTAGAACTCGAGTACAAAAACGAGTTTAACCTCCTTCAAATGCATCTCTTATGAATTAAAAATATGCATATTCAGCTAAGGCAAGCTGTGTTGAGGTTTACATAAGAGATGCCTGCGGAGGAGGCTAACTCCATAGGGGAGTGTCACTTCATGTCGTGTGTTGTGGGTAAAAAGTCGTGCGTCGTGGGTAAAAAGTCGTAGGCAAAGTCGTGGGTTAGCCTCCTCCCAATGCAGGCATCTCTTATGTATAATAATTAAATTACATTAGATACAGCTAACCCATGCCTAATATAACTTAATACATAAGATATGCCTTTGAAGGACGCTAGCCGTGAGCCATAAAATAGCTTTTTTCCAAATCAAAAGTTTTTAAACATTTAAATAGCCGAGTCGAACACTCTAACCGCTTTTTTTATCAAACTACATGTCGCGCACAGATTTAAAGATGTTGAGGCTTAAGGCCAACACGACCGGACGCGTTTTGGCAGCGCGACGCGATTTTTCAAAGTTTTTCATGTTCCAAAAGCAAATAAATTTTAAACTATCATTATATTATTGTAGATTACTTAACGATAATAAATTTTGACAACTACGGCGGCCATAGAGTCCAGATTTTGCTTCAAGAAATTAATTTATGTGCTTCTAAAAATTGAAAATTCGCGATGCGGCAACGCTTTCGAGCTGTAGCTACAGCCTAGAAGGAGGCTAGAGGCAGTTTATATTTATCAGCAAAGAAAAGATTCACTAGAAGTAGGCGAAACCTTTAGTTCTTTCGGCTTGCGGTTCTTGCTGTTCTTAGTTGCGACTGGGCGTAATACACACAGTAAACAATACTGTGTTACTAATAAGTTACTCTCAGTAAGCCACATGTATCCAAGCAAATTACCGGCTAATAGAAATGCTGCTGCTGGTTGTCTATATTTTCCTGACCCCTCGTGCAACATCGGTCTTCATAAATTCCCCAAAGGAAAACGATTTAGTGGGGTAAAAATTGTTGTACAAGCGTTCAAATATACCGTAGTGATATTATATTTTTTCGCAATATTTTAACACGAGCTCCTCGCGCACGTTACTAGTAGCAGTTTCCGCTTACCCTTTCATGAGGACCCGCACAATGTGTGAAAAAATTAAGGCAAAAAGTGTCCGTTCCCATGGCATCTGTTTGGTAGGTGTTTGAGGGTTGACATGTAGAAATTGAATTAACTCGCTCCTTTATTTCGTGCAAGTGTAATTTGATACTCCGTTTTCATTCTATGTTTATATATTGATAAGCTGCGTCGATATGGCTAATAATTTATTACTTCTTAATAGCTAAACACGATTGTCAACGCCGCATTTAGGAGTTATAAAGGCAAACGCGCGCCAATATTTGACTAAAACCGCGAAGTTGTTGAGCCGCTTGAGCGCGACTAGTCAGTTCAACTTGCGAAATGTACTACCGAGTATATTCGCATTGCTTAGACTATAGCAAGAATTGGTATGCGTACAATGACTTGCTTTTTGGATATCCGAAATCTGGTAGAAAGCACGAAGGAAGCGCGACATTCTGTTTGTTCTCCAGCGAAGTACAAAAGGTTAATATCGCTGATCTCAGAGACCGCGACGGCAAACAGCCATCGAACAACATCAACAGAAAACGACCTAGAGCCAAGTCCGTTCGAATGGAAAGACATATCAATCTTCTATGCTCGCGCTCGGTTCAATGTCCCGCCAAAATTACATGCCGCGCGCGCCTTCTAGCGCTCTCATTAAATCGAATGAAATAGCACCACAAAGCGCCACCATATGGCGCCACATTGAGGAAATCAATGATGTATCTGTACCATCACCGGTAGGATTTACAAATGTCTCCATTGTTTATTTCAGAGAGTATGTAAACAATTACGCATAATCACTAAATGCATTTTTCTACCTTACTAACAATGCATATATAAATACTAATTGTGAGGTAAACTTTTACTCTAATTTCACAATAAATTATACCATAAAATATTTTTAGTATTCAAGGCATGAAAAATACATTGCTGTTGTACAGTATAAAAATTGTGAGAATTCTTTTAGTGGACACTCTTGTGTCAGAAAGATGCAGTCATCTTTTGCTGACAGATTAAGAAGATGTAGTCATCTTTGCTTAATCAGTTGAAGCTGAAAGTTTTCTGATGATTATATTACACAGCAAATTATATCTAAATGAGAGTAGCTTGAAAACTCCAATATATATATTATAATTTTACCATCAAGTACTGTTCAAGACATAAAAAATATATTGCTGTTGTACAGTATAAAAATTGTGAGAATTCCTTTAGTGGACACTCTTGTGTCAGAAAGATGCAGTCATCTTTTGCTGACAGATTAAGAAGATGTAGTCATCTTTGCTTAATCAGTTGAAGCTGAAAGTTTTCTGGTGATTATTACACAGCAAATTATATCTAAATGAAAAGT